GTCTTGACGATAATGAACCATTGGAATGTGTTGAAAACTGGCTGATGCAAGAATATGAGCTAAACTATTAGTATTCTCCTATGTAAAGGTCGAAATGAATGTCTTGAAATGTAGAATCAACGTGACATTGAAAGGAAGACCATTCAGTTTTATGAAAACTCAAGAATGGTAAAGTAGAAAGTGGTCGTGTGTAAGATGTTGTGGCACCAAGATGAAAATGGTGGGTAAATGATGACTGCCTAGAGGTGGAAGAACGTCAATCATGAACAGAGATACAACATTAGGAGAGGCAAGGACCATGTATGGTTTGGTTATTGATTCAGGACGAGAATGACACGTAACTTGCAGAAAGAGATCATCATCAGTGCGTTCCAGAGTGGAAGTAAGCAGTCCAGGTTCGGAACAGGATCGGTTGTAGATGTTGACATTATCCCCTGATAATGTAGCTTTTGAAGGTCTGATAAATAAAAGTGAAGATGGCAAGAGGCAATTAATTCTTCTGTTTCTCTAACATATATATGGAAGCACGTGTGTTATACAGGTTGAAGAATATGGGGTAATAATGAGGTATTCTGTAAAGCTGTCGTGGTGCCAGCTGTGGATCCAAACAGGTAATAAAGCTTTACAACCAACTTCCAGTCATCCCCGACCCATTCCCCGTGGTTTGTTTTCCTCGGTGAATTTTAATCATATAACCATGTAAACAAATTTGGTATAAGGAAGACCTCGTTAAGTAATTCACAGTTAAGAGGTTTGTCTTGCAATTCTAGTTCCAGCAAAAGTAGATTAATTTTAATAGAGCGAATATTAATAAAAAGGAAACGTAAAAAATATATTTATATCTGACCTGACCATCCAGATCTGAACAATGATCGAAAGTGTAAATGAATGTTTAAGTCAGAATAGGTACTATGTGTATCCATTTGAAAACAGATTTAGCATTGAAACAAATCTTATCAAAACAAAATAGCATTTACAGGGATGAATATTGTGATAGTTATATGTAGAAGATCCTCTAACGTAGAGGTGTAGAAAGACCAACTTTTTGACAGGAGTTAAAATACTAGACGTGCCTATAGGTGCTACTGTGGAAAGCTCATGCAATTTAAGAGCAGATTTGCTTTACATTTATAAGAATAAGTAGGATAGTGACATTTATTTTATCACACACTGGAGTGAGGTGGGGCATCAATAATATGAAAAATTGATTTATTGCTGCATTTGATTGTAAAGTGAGAGTTATAGGTAAGGCAATGGCTACAGTACAGTGGTTGAGTTGGCAAAGGTTGTGATTCTTTAGCTCTATGCCATTGCTTAAATTAGAAAGCTAGATGGCTAAAAAGGTTATCCACAACATCACTACGGTCATTACCACGTATGTTGGACCATGCGAGCTCCAGATTCACTGCTTTCTATAAACTGATATACCTTCCTTTGATAGTTTAGTTATGAGTTCCTTTTCAGTCACTGAATAGTACACAACACGTATTACACAAGAGAACACAGTCATATCACGTGTACGGGGTAGTTGTTTGGGTTGAGGTACACTGTGTTACTGGCAAGGCGAACAATACACAACTAATTACAGAGTATGTCAAAAGTGTAGCATTGGATGTTTTGACAACCATGCTACTAGGTGTAGGAATGATCTGTTGGTTATAAGACAACATTTAGAGATCCCAAAAACAAAGAACTAGCTGAAGAGTATTTGGCATCCATATTGGAGAGTAAAAAGGGAAAAATACTTGGTATTGGTTCAGTATCCATAGATTGTGAGTTCAAATCCGTAGATGGAAGACCAGAAACTGTAGTCAAATCTTTGTTGTTCATTCTGATGTGAGGAACTGAATACAGTGGTTATAACAAGAACATCAGTAGATGTAGAATGACAGTCAATGACAAGTGGAGTGATCACAAGAGTAGTGTTGTCATCTACTGGGCAAGGAAAGTTTTCAGTAAGATTTCATTCTCTTGCGATGGACTGGTGACCCATAACGCTCAACCAATACCCTATCGATCTATAATCAAAGGAAAAGGACCGTCCATCCCAGTAATATCACCAAACAAAGAAATGCATATTTTAACTTGAAAGTATGGCGGCTAATTAACAAGAACTATATAACGAATTTATAAATAACAAAAAGAAAACGAAAACCTGCTACAAGTAATCACGTTGTATAACTTTTAATATGTTATCCAAAACGTTTCAATCCAAAACGTTCTCACAATTCCATAGACGTCCATGCACTAATGATAGAGGCGTTATCTATGCTATAGAATTGCATGAATAATAATTGTTACGATGTAAACTAGATTAGGTTGGTGAATTGTAATTTCAATAATATACGAGTCATTAACAAATGAGCCCCCCAGTGTCACAGCGGTATGTCTGCGGACTTACAACGCTAGAATCCGGGTTCCGATACCCGTGGTGGGCAGAGCACAGATAGCCCATTGTGTAGCTTTGTGCTTAATTACAAACAAACAATTAAATAATTAGAATTAGGGTCAATAACACAATGTTATTTATATATTTTAACACCAATTGTGTAATTTTATCATTTCTTTCTGCTTGAATTACCATTACCTTACAGAAGAAGTGAGAGATGGGGTCACATTTAGCGCCACTCATAGCGCCATCATGAAATAAATGAGCTAGATTAATATTCCAGTAATTTCAAGCTAACATAATCGTATAATAGATATGTGGACGTTAATTTCCTCATTTTTCGAAAAATAAATCATGTTAATAAAATGTTAATATTGAAATAAAAAAAGAAGAGTAAATATTAAATTTACACACGAACTGGAACAGGAAGTTGCTTTGCCTTTGTTCGTAAATGAGGGAGAGTTAAGGTAAATATGTATTATAAACCGAGTTCTTGAGGTCATTATGTTACCTTTAACAGACTTATATTTTTTAAAGTTTCTAGAGAATTTGACGAAAGATTTAGGGCGGGAATTCAACAAATCTATGGATTGTTTGTTTGTTTGTAATTAAGCACAAATCTACCCAATGAGCTATCTGTACTATGCTCATCTCGGCTATCGAAACCCGGTTTCTAGCTTTATACGTCCACAGACATATCGCTGTGCCACTGGGGGGCTAAAGCTATGGATTTCGGAGCTATCGGGCCGGATCCGAATCAGTTGTGGGTTCATTAATTACTTAGCGGAGATGATAGATAGTACGGTGCTGCTAACTGGTTAGTTTACCTACGGTCATTAGTTCAAATATAAGAGATGGAAGCAGATAGTCTTAGTAGATTTGCTAGAAATACAATTAAAATTTTGATATATCGGGCCTATAATCTTGCCATTAGACGGCATTTATTTCAGAATGAGTTAAATAATGGAATAGAATATTTTGACTGAAATGATTTTTATAATATTGTAGTAAGTTTGTTTGTTTTGGAGCAAAGCCACATTGGGCGACCTGCTATGTCCACCGCGAGGAATCTAACATAGAATTTAAGTCCGTAAACCTACTGATGTCTTACCGGGGGACTAGTGTAATTCTTGATTGATATTTCCATCCCCCAAAAGTGAAAGGTAATTAAAGATCATTTATGCCACATTACCATTTACTGGTATAGATGGTTTGAAATATACACATATATATATTGGATCAACTATATGATATCTTAGTGAGGATAAGAGAATACTAACAGTAGTAACAAGGAAAGCTCCATAATAATTTGACTTCTGATTTCAGTACCACATGTTTTCTTCCAGGTACAGGTCATTC